ATACCCTTTGACCACAAGTCTTGCCTTATACTTGTCAATAGTGCCATCATCTTTCATTTTCCTCTTAAAGATCCATTTAGAACCCAACGGTTTATTTCCAGGAGGAAGATCAACCAATTCCTATGTATGGTTGTTCAGTATGGATTCTATTTCACTATTGACTGCCTCTTTCCATAACAATGATTCCGAAGAAGACATAGCTTCTTTAAATGTTTGAGGCTCATTTTCCAATAAGAAAGTCACAAAATCTGGTCCAAATGAAGTAGACGTTCTTTGACGTTTACTACGTCTTGGATCCTCCTGGTTAAGTGTACTTTCTTTTGTTTCTTCCCGAGGTCATTTAGATCCTTCACCAATCGACTCACATTCCTTTTTATACGGATATATATTTTCAAAGAACTCAACATTATCTGATTCTATAACTGTATTATTATGAATGTCGGGATTTTCTGATTTATGAACCAGAAATCGATATGCTTTACTATTAGTCGCATATCCTATGAAAACACAATCAACGGTTTTCGGTCCTATTTTTACCCTTTTAGGTTTAGGAACTTGCACTTTTGCCAAACACCCCCACACTTTAAAATAATTCAAGTTGAGCTTCCTTCCTTTCCATTTTTCATATGGAATGGATTGTGTTTTGCTATGGGGTACTCGATTTAGTATTCGGCTAGCCGTAAGAACGGCTTCCCCCCACAAGTTCATTGGCAAACCAGAACTTATCAATAATGCGTTCATCATTTCCTTTAATGAACGATTCTTTCTTTCTGCAATCCCATTGGATCGTGTAAGGGACCGTTGTTTGATGAATAATTCCATATTCTAAACATATTTATTCAAAAGGAGATTCATATTCACCACCCCTATCACTTCCTATCATTTTGATTTTCTTATTAAGTTGCGTTTCAACTTCATTTTTGTAAACATATCAATATCAAGTACTATCGTCAATAAAAGTTATGAAATACTTTTTTCCACCGCGAGATGGTATTGACTTCATGTCACAAATATCTGTGTGATTAAGTCTAAAGGATTTGAATTCCTTTCAACCGACTTATAAGGATGTTTAACATACTTAGATTCCACACATACTTGACATTTTGATTTGTCACATTCAAACTTGGGCAATACTTCCAAATTAATCATTTTCCGTAAGGTTTTATAATTGACATGACCCAAACGTATATGCCATAATTCATTTGACTCAAGTAAGTAAGACGAAGCTGAAACTTTATTATTATTTTCAACAACCATTACATTCAGCTTGAAAAGGCCCTCAGTGAGGTAACCTTTTCCTACAAACATTTCATTCTTACTTATTACAACCTTATCAGAAACAAAAATACATTTAAAACCATTCTTAACAAGAAGTCCAGTAGAGACTAAATTCTTCCTAATCTCGGGAACATGAAGGACGTTGTTCAAAGTCACCACTTTGACGGAAGTGATTTTGAGAAATATCTTCCCACATCCTTCAATCTTCGCCTTTGAAGCATTTCCCATATAAATCGTCTCATCGAGTCCAACAGGAGCATAAGAAGCAAAAGCTTCTCTAACAGCACAAACATGGCGAGTGGATCCAGAATCAATCCACCACTCTTTAGGATTGCCCACCAAGTTGCATTCGGAAAGCATGAAACATAAATCATCAACATCATCATGCTTTTCAACCATGTTTGCTTGACCCTTCTTCTTGTCTTTCTTCGGAGCACGACACTGCATAGATTTGTGTCCGGTTTTTCTACAGTTGTAGCAGTTTCCACTGAACCGCTTCTTGCTTGGGTTGTATTTCGGTCCAGAAGCCTTCTTCCTCCTTTTGTTCTCTTCAACAATATTTGCTCCCATTATTGTTGAGTTTCCACGGCCTCTCTTTTCAGCAGCTTTGTTGTCCTCTTCGATTCTCAAAGAACAATGAGATCTTCAAGGGACATCTCCTTGCGTTTGTGTTTCAAGTAGTTTTTGAAGTCCTTCCACAAAGGAGGCAACTTCTCAGTCATTGCTGCTACTTGAAATGCTTCATTGATGACAAGACCTTCAATGAAATTTCTGTTAGTAACAATACTAAGATTATTACTTTCAACATCAATATTAATTTGAGTTATACCTTCAGCAAGGAGATCGTGAATAATCACTTGTAATTCCTGGACTTGGGTAATAACAGACTTGCTATCTACCATTTTGTAGTCCAAAAACTTTGCAGCAACAAACTTTTTCAACCCGTCATCTTCGGTTTTGTATTTCTTTTCAAGCGCAGTCCACAGTTCCTTTGACGTTTCCACGCCGCTGTAGACGTTATACAAAGCATCCTCCAGCACGCTTAGAATATAATTCTTGCACAAAAAATCTGAATGCTTCCACGCCTCAATCACGAGAAAGCGTTCAGTTTCTGGAGTTTCATCGGACAGCATAGGAACATCTTCCTTGATGAACTTCTGGAGACTTAGAGTAGTCAAATAGAAGAACATCTTTTGCTGCCAGCGCTTGAAATCAATCTCGGAAAATTTTCCGGGTTTTTCCGCCGGTGCCAATGCTGCCGGTGTCGTTCGGCTTGTTGAGGCATTGGCAGTCACCATTGGAACAACTTAATTCTCATTCTCATTAGTCATTTCTGTAAAAGAATGACATAAACGTTAAAATCACGTAGATTTTAATAGAGTACAAAACCACAAAGGTTTTACTATTCCAGAAACAGTAAGTACAAATACAGTAAATATATTAAATTCCTTAAGCTTGTTAGTTGACTGTATTTGTAAAATAATTTTGGAAATATAAATGAATATAAACAGAAATGAACATAAACAGAAATGTTAGAAAACCAATTCGAGCCCACTGAATTCACAGTGTTTCCTTAAGGAATTTAATCCCCTCCTAGTACCCAAGGTTATGGATTATTTCCTCCCAGGATAGAACGAATTACACACTGGTGTAGTGGTACTTCAAACCCTAGTGTTTCAGCAAACACAAAATTCGGTAGCAAATCACACTTACTTTTTGCTTTGTTTGATGCTAAAAGTATGCAGAAGAAGGAGAAGAAACTCAAAAAATCGTAGTGAAATTCTGAGCAGAATAGTGTTGTATTTATAGCCAAAGTTGGGCTGAAATCTGAAGAGGTGCAACTCTTCAGAGTGGCTGTTTATGCAAAACGCCCACAGCATAAATGCCATTACGTAAATGGCCATTTACTCAGCAATAAAGAGGGAAAATAAAGAGAGAAAATTGAAGAGGGTAGTTACTTTTCTGTTACCAAAATAGAAAAACGGATTGGGATCATTTGACCAAATCCGAATCCGAATCCGAATCCGAGCCGAGCCGAGCGAGCGACGACGACGACGGCGCGAGGCTTGCCTTCTTCTCAACTCTTTAACTGCTAGAAGAAGAGCAATTGCTTATATACCCATAAAAAATATCTTCCTTTTCCAATATGGGACAATGCCCATTTGCCAAGGGGGAAAACTTAAAATTTCACTCAAAAAAATTTCATTTCCCTCCATTTTCCATTCACCCTCTTTTAAGTATTTAATATATTAATTAAATACATTCAATACCCAATAACATGAACTTGCAATTTAGTAATATAGCATAATTAAATAGGATTCTTTTAAGCATTACCAATCTAGTATTCGCATCCGACTATTGTATTTTTTAATCAACATTAGTAAGATTTATTGCTATTCATCTCTTCCTGTATGGGAACTGACCTCAAATGTTTTAAGAATCACCTCAGCAACTCTTTTCCCATTTGTTTCATCAATCATAGCAACAAAAGTAGTACATTCAAAATAAGAAGTATTTACTTATGAAATCGTTGAATCATCAGCTCAACAGGTCATATAGCGACCAACTACAGATGTTTCTAGACTACTCATAAGAGGAAAAGAAATAGAACCATAAATGATAGAAATTCTGCATTGAGTTTAAAAGAATATTTGTATAAGTTTACAAAGAATCTAAACCTGATTTTGTACATGTGTAGTTCTAGGAAGTTCTCTTTCCAGCTGCACAAGCAGAAAGTAGTTTCAACGTGAATACAAAGAGTATTCTTTCAAAATCTAACTGTGGAAAGCGGAATACCAGAAATTTATAACTGAATTCAAAAGTATATATGTAATAATCTACAAAGAATGTAGATTTAATTTTTTAATATATTGTAGTTGTAGAAGTCCTCTTTCCAACGGCACAAGTGGATCATAATTTTGACATGCCATTGAGAGATATAATTGTTTTAGTTTGAGCGTGCAAAGCTGTAAAAATCAGAATTGCAGAAATTCATCACTGAGTTGAAAAGAATATATGTATAAATCGACAAAGAATTTGGACCTGATTTTTATAGATATTGTAGTTTCAGAAGTCTTCTTTCTAGCGGCATAAGCAGAGCGTGATTTTGACGTGTCTGCACAGAGATATGAGTTTTTTAGTGAGGGCAGACAAAGCTGTAAAAAAGAGAAAACCTGAAATGAAGTTAATTCAAACGCACATCTATATAAATCTATAAAGAAGCATGTATCTGATCACCCTTGAAATAAATAACATTAAATACGTACATACATATAGTTAGTGAAAAATATAAGAAGAACATAGCTAATCCAGATTTGCAACTTAAAAAACAGAGAAGCAAAACAAATTAGTAAGACTAAAAAACTGAATTTAAATACATGTTCATCTTATAGAACTAATTCAATCGAGAAACAACAACCACCCAGTATAATCTCACAAGTGGGGGTATGGGGAGGGTAGTATGTACGCAGCCTTACCCCTACCCTGGAAGGGCAAAGACACTGTTTCCGATAGACCCTCGGCTAACCAAAAAAAGAGAAATTAATACAGCTCGTTACATGTACATGACAATTTAAAGTGTTATTTTTAGTGTGTGTTTTTCCTTAATATATAGCATCTAACTGACAAGTTTCTTTGCAGGCATTCTTACTATTCTAATTGACACATCATCTACCAAAATCCCAAAGTTAAATAACCTGCATTGACAGTCCCTTCTAAACTCCTCAACACTGGAATGTGCACAAATGACTCCCAAATTGCGACACAATATCCACTAATGCTCCGTAACCAGCAACTGCTGTGACCCCTGAAGGATGTAAAGAAATGGAAAAGAGTGACTGAGGAGCACATGGTATCTGTGAAATAATATCTCCGTTCAGGTCAAAGCAACTAAGCAGGGGCTCCGATCCAACCGCTAAAACTTGATTATCATCAAATATTGCGTCCTGGATAGTAGCAGTGGTCGTGATCATGGGCGAAGCCACCTTTAGCAAAGGGTGGTCAATTGACTACCCTTCGCTGAAAAATTACGAAAAATTACACTGTGTATATAAGTAAAATATTGATATTAGATATATAAAACCTATATTGAACACTCTTTGTCGGAATTTTTTTTTACTTCTTTAAAGTTTAAACACCCTTGAAAAGATTTTTGGCTTCGCCGGCAAAGGCCTTGTATATTAGTCCAAAAAGGGGACTCTCATGGGTCCGATGGCTCTTTGACTGGTCGTGATACGTGAAACGCATTCACAAGCTGGAAGATTCCAAACAGATAAAGACCGGCCACTTCCACAAGCCAACCAACTGTCACTTGCATCAAGAGTAATGCAACTGACATATGGAAAAAACTCCCTCGACTTCTTGTCCTTCTGTGGATCTATTATTTGGATACATTTACCAGTTTTGCAATCCCATATGCGTGTTGTCCCATCCTCTGAACCAGTTATAACCTGATTGTGAGAATTTCTCGCAACAATGCAATGCAAGTAGTCTGAATGTCCTTTCAAAACCATCTTTATTTCATTCTTCTCCACATCCCAGCAGTATACACAAGAATCACCAGTAGCATCAAAAATGGATCCAGTCTGAGCATTAACAACCATGCAATTATTCTCTGGAATTGGAGAAAGCGCACCCCCATGCAATTCAATCGAGAAAGTATTGCTAAAAAATGTATGAAGAACAGAACAACATATACAAATTCGCAAATTAACTAACATAGAAGCAAAACAAATTAGTAAGACAAAAAAAGTGATTTGTAATACCTTTTAATCTTGTAGAACCAAATTAAAATAGTAGTAATAAAAATTTTATGAAGAACAGAACAACAAATCCAAATTTGCAACTTAAAAGACAGAGAAGCAAAACGAATTACTAAGAAAAAAAAAGTGATTTTGAACATATTTTTAACTGTCACGCCCTGAACCTGGGCCTGGACGTAACACGGCACTCGGTGTCTGACTACATGTGACCGAGCGAACCAACCGGCTGGCTGAATCAACATGTGATATCATAATATACGGAATGCGGATAATAAACTAACACACGCTGGTATACTGAAAGTCTGAATGATAAAAATCAAAGTGTGGAAACACTAATACAAGTCTGAAACATATCTGTAGCCAATATTGCTTAACATGAAAAGCCTGAGACTCTGTCTAACTGTTACTCTAGTCTATGAAGCCTCTAATGAAGTAAGAAAACACTGACTGCCTGTAAATACTGAAAGACTGTAAAGTAATGATAATGCCCCGAAAGAACTGGGGATCACCAAACAGCTGGTACGAGAATCCTAGCGCTCTGAATCATCAACCTGTAAATCATTACCTGCATTACGAGATGCAGGCCCCGGGCAAAAGGGACGTCAGTACATTTGAATTGTACTAGTATGTAAAGCAACTGAAAGAAAGAATTATAAATACTGAAACTGAAACTAAGCTGATAACTTAAACGATAACTATTGAAACTGAAACTGAAACTGAAGTGACAACTGGTAACTGAACTGATAACTAAAAAGATAACTGATAACTGAACTAATAACTGAAAAGATAACTGATAACTGATAACTGAACTAATAACTGAAAAGATAACTGATAACTGATAACTGGACTGAATAAAGGAAGTAAGGATATGAATACTCCCTCTTCTGAATAGTGAACAACCTGTTTATTTGAATATTAAATTGCAGCCTCAGGCCCAATATATATATGTGCATAACTGCGGCCTCGGGCCCAGGTATACGTATACATAACTGCGACCTCAGGTCCAAAATGCATAAAGCATAAACTTCGGCCTCAGGCCCAAAGATGCATAAAGCATAAACTGCGGCCTCAGGCCCAAAGATGCATAAAGCATAAACTGCGGCCTCAGGCCCAAAGACAGGTGTTCAACATTCAGGAACTGAGAATCATACTGAAATACGTGATGCTGAAATACTGAATCATACTGAGTTACATGATACTTGAATGCTGAATCACACTGAGTTACATAATACTGAATAGGACTGGACTGAGACATATATTCTTGAACTGATTATGAACACTGAAACTTTAACTGTTTATGACATGCTGAGTAAGCTATACTGAGACTCAGGGACAGCAAACCCAATTCTATATTGAATACGAACTGAGCTCACAACATTCAGAATGAAAGTCATGAACGAGTTATGAAGCTAGAGAATAGAAGTTCTGCAACTATTCAAGGAATTAGGATTAACTATATTTCTGAGGCAATTGGTAACGTCGTAAAAGAAACGTAGTGTAGGGAGAATCATTAAGATTCCCAAACATAGAGAGTTAGCCTCACATACCTTAACTTCCTGCTCTTGAGCGTAATACAACATTCGCCAACCCTTTCAACTTAATCTATATCAATACAAGTCAATGGGATTCCATATTAGCAATAATACTCATATTTTAGTCACTTAAGCATTTTCTCAAACACTTGGTGACGTAAAGCTTCACAGTCCTTATTAATGGTGTCTCTACACCCAACAACCCATTCTCTTGTTCCTAGATAAATTCTAAAGTCTCAAATTGTTATAATCAACATCATCCTTTATCACCCATAAGGTAAACAACACCTTTAACCAATAATCAACAATCAACACCCCAAACCTATAACCGTTCATGCTTTTCTATCAAACCCATCAACTCATATCTCATGAACTAGAATTTATAATCATTAAACTAATACTAGAATCAATTAGAGGGTGAAGACATTACCTTTTTGAAGTTCAAACCCTTTGAATTCGAGTTCTACGCTTCCTTCTCTCAACAAGGATGTCCCAATCGAATATCTAATGATATGGAGGGTTTACCCATGTTAATAAGATGTTAGGAAATTGAAATTAACTTAGAATCACCATTAGAACTTACCTTGGGTGGTGGAAGGACCCTTAAGGAGTTAGGTTTTTGAGAGTTCCCCTTTCTAGAGCAAGTTTTTATATTTTGGGGATGTGGGCAGAGGCGTACCTACAGCAGTCCTTGAGGGATCACGTGAACCCGTTAACTTCGGCAAAAACTCTATATATACATAGTTGTATATACGTTGGGGACCCCTTAAATATTTTTCTTGGCCCCCATATTAACAAAATTACGCTTGGAGCAGTGGTACGCTTCCAAGCATAAGCCTTGCTCCTTGTCACACGAGCGGGTTCGAAACCTGCCTGCTTCAATTTTTTTAATGGTGCCCCCGTTATTCTTAAATCCTGGGTCCGTCTCTGGCTGTGGGGGACGAAATATATCTTTAAAACGACCCCCATGAGCGCTCTCGCGCACCTGGACACCTGCCCGCGCTACTGACCGTGCTAAACGGCAGTAACACTGCCTCAAAATTAGCGCGGTCGCGCTATGGGCGCGCTACCGGGCGCACATATCGCATACTGTTCTGTAAAACGTGCATAACATTTTGCACATAGATCCGTTCGGGCTCCATAATATATCGTTGGAAAGCTATTTCAACGTCCTACAACTTTCATCTTTTTTTCACAAATTCCTTACACATTTTCACAAAAACCTGCTGGAAGACAGACCTTCTGCAAACTTAGCTGATTTTGTCAAATCTTATGCACCTCACTTTCCATCTTGATTTTGAATCAACTATTTTACCCATAATCATCCCGATAGAACTTCATATATCCAAAATATAACCTTACTACTCCTTTAACTCATTCATACCTGAGCCAAATTTACGGGGTGTTACATTAACTGTTCGTAGAACCAATTCAATCAAAAAAAGTAGGGTTAAAAAATGTACGAAGAATAGAGCACAGAGAAGCAAAATAAATTAGTAAGACAAAAAATTGATTTTTAATACCTTTTCAGCTTGTAGAACCAATTCAATCGAGAAAGTTGTGTCTGAATTGTAACGATCTGGGACTTTCCACATGAACAACCCTTACTTTCAACTTCTATTGCATTTTCGAAATTGTTATATCCTTGATGAAATCACTGTGAGTAGCCATAATTGTCAAAATCCCTATGTTTTGTTGAATTTTTTTTATATACGTAGAGTATCAGTGGAAGAAATAGAAGTGGGCATAGTTAGTTTTGAGCAGTTTCGGATGGTTACCGATCGTGATTAGGTTTGGTTAGGGTAGGTTTAGATAAAATCTAAAATTTAGAGTGTGATATAAATTTGAAAACTTTAATTAACAATGAACTAAAAAACGTGTGTATTCACGTTCACACGTAGATGCAGTTACTTGTTTTAAAAAAAAAAATTGAAATATTTAGTTAACAAAAGTAAAATATTGAATTTTGTAGGATATTTTTTCCCCAAACAGAGGTATAGTAGGATGCTTCTTACGTTTTGCTTCTTTAAAGAGAAAAAATAACTGACATTTTTAATTAACAAAAGTAATTTGTGAGAGATTTTTTCCCAAATAATATTTTAGTTCCTATTTTTTTGGAGCTGTGTCCTAAAGTGCCAGATGTCTTATTTTTATACTGCCACTTGTCAAAAAAAGGGGGCTTCTGCCTCTCCTTTTATTAATAGATAGATAGATGTGAGTTATTAAAAATTTATGACATAAGACTTAATTTTCTAGCTTGCTGAATCTCAAAGTGAGAACTCAAGCACTCTTAATACGATGATGATTGGTTAAAGTATTGATATTACATACTTGAGATCATACTTAGAAAAGATTGTGATAGCACACTTTGCATTTCTTTTTCGAGTTGAATCTGTTGAGATTACAAAAGCACTTCATCTTTATGCATTTGAATGTCTCATCTTTTCTACAACCTCGACAATTTCACTGAGGCAGATAATATTTTCTTGCTTCTTTGTTTACAGGCCTTTTATTGTCAATACATGCTCGGAAGAAGGCCAAGAAGACTAAACACCACAATTTCATGCAGCACTGTTACCTAATATGTAAATAGCTATGTCAACAATGTTAGCTAATTTATAGCTATGCCGTAAATGATGTAAACACTACAGATATTGTCCGGGTTATTTACTGCCCATGAATGTAAACAATGATATTTTGATCCAAATATGTAAATAATAGCCCGCAGCTAGCACATAGAGTTGCCTGCACCAAATATGTACATAATAGCCAGCAGTTAGCACGTAGAGTTGCCTACCTGATGTGCAACTTTTATTATATCCAATTCCATCAACATGCTGACAAAAGGCTCACGAGAATTATATAGAATGATGCAATCTGACAAAAAGAGGCTCTCCTAGCGCGAGGACAAGCAAACAAAGCTTCATCAAGTAGCCATGAACTTGCTGCCTGTGCAATAATTAACAGCTCACCTGTATAGGGTTTTACTTAAGAGATTCTAATTCTTTGTTATGAATTTCTACTAGATTACTAACCTATTTTTTAGTGAAGTTCCATATGGTTCAAATGATAAGCTTAATTAGGTTGGCTTTCTTGTTGATTCTGTTTCTCAAGCCAGGAACATTTTCATGTAAAGAGTTGTCATAACTTTTCAACTCATCAACAGAGTACATAGTGGCATTAGGAATTAACCTATTTGACTCTACTCTCCAAATTGGGAAAATATGTCCAAAATCCTATGACAATAAATCTACAGAATCACTAAAATCCCTATGGATCTTAATTTAATAGAACCTAAGGTCAATAGTTCCCAAAATATCTAAAGGAGCAAGTATAACGAAAAATCAAAATAATGGAGAGCTCAATTAATTGAATTAGTCATAAAAATCAATACAACACATCAAAATATTCGGAAAAAAAATTTAA